GGGGGGGGCTTGCCAGACATTTGGAAGGCGTTGGCTTGCTTTGAGCTTTGCCAAGGAGCATCTCTTTCATCACAGCCTGAAACCTGCTCACGAATAAACTTCTTATTCTCTCTGTATAAGTTACCCTTAAACTCCCTAGAAGCCAGCTTTGGATGGAAACAGCAGCCACAGACAACAAAAAGCAGGTAATTTCGTGTGCGTAAATTTAAATAGGAGGACTGGAGAGGATTACAGCTAACGTGGCAAAAGCCCCGCGTTAGGCGAGAGAGACCGTCGTTATTTTGGTCCTGCCTTAACCAATAGGTAGTTTTTACCGCGGAACGACGAGCTTAATGCCAGGAAGATTTGCAGATGGGTTTCGGTTTATTAAAAGGATGGCGTCCTTGCTGATTGCGATGAGTGACCGCCTTAGTTAACGAAACCATTCCCCGCCCCGCGCTCAGGATAAACCACAGAAAACTGCGAATAAAAAAAGCTGAGGGGGTGGGTAGGAGGTTGAAGCAGTGACCGGGTGTTTTCTTTCATCTCTGCTGGCTAAAGGTTGTAGGGAGAATGAAATGAAATTGACATTTATTTGGAGAAAACAGAAGGGGCATTTGCAATAGATATTTTGCCTGGCTTTGAAATGAGCCGCTGCTATTGGTTTCATTACTTTCGGCACGGAAACCTTCGCTTCACTCCCCTGCGCTTTTTGCGCACCTGGGCCGAAGTAAAGAGCAGGGAGCTTCCAAGCATCAGGCGGGAAAGCCGTTCTTTTTGAAAAGGGGATTCCCTCAGATCATTTTGGTTGCCGCATTAATTACACGTCTCCTAATTACACACCTGAGGGTGCCCCAGTCTTTCACAGAAGGGCCCTCCCTCGCTCCGTAGTGAATATTGGAGCTGCTTCTTTAAATTAAAACATATCAAAAGAAAGATGTTGATTAAGGCTTGTCCAGACTGGGAATGAAATCGCTCTGGTGACCTAGAGAAGGAGCACTTTGACACCCCAAATGCCATTTCAATGAAGCCCTTATAAGTGGTTACTCTCCAGGGTCACATGATGGATGTGAGAAAGGTATCTTTCTGTAAATCTCAGCCTCCAGATGCAACATTCCTGCGGGTGGTAAACATAATCAGGCATGGAATACGATTTACACTGAGACTGTTCAAACATATGCAGCCATTTTGGACAAGAAATCTGTACTTCAAGCAAAAATATTAATCCACCCTTCTTATAATACTCTAGAGCTGCACTGGCCCAAGAAATGGCTACTGGTGAACAATTTATTATACAATTTTGTTGGAATATTTGTTAAACTGAAACCCCATTTTTGCCCAGATGGAATGTTTTATTCAGTTATTTTAATTAAACATGCAGCATCACTTTTATTTCAGTCTTCAGTGTACATTTAGAGAGAGCTTCACATTCACTTATTTGACTTATTTGTCAAAGGGCCATCCACTGATGCACATGGCCTCTTTAACATCTTCTATAATATCAATGGCTACTAGGGCTATCAGATGACTTCTAAAGAATGGCACTTACTTGAAGAGATTTTGATCCTCAACCCAGGATATCATCTTAACTTCAGAATATGTAATGTAAAATCCTTATTTTAGAATTTCCAAGCCCTCTACTATTGTACATGCCATCCTTCCAGTGTGCCCTTCATTTCCTTATTTCTAACTTGGCTTTTCAATTTCCAGCCTTATAAATGTTTTTTTTAAAATAAAAGACCAGTAACTCTTCTCACCTGATCTTATTTGTCTGATGTTCTCAAGAACAAGGGAAAGCTCTATTTACATGCATTTTTTTCTAGTAAATTCTTTGGATTAAAATTTTTAAAGTGCACATTCTGATTTTTTGGTTTGATGGTATGTTTAGTTGTTGATTTAGAGCTGGTATAATTTAGCAGCTAAGACTATGAACAGGGAAGTCTCTGGTTCAACGCTCACCCCAGTCATGAATTCACTAGGTGACCTTAGCATAGCTACTATTTTCTTTGTCTCTGAGGGCCTTTTCATGCATCAGGCATTGTAAACACAGATGGAGACTACAGGCAGTCATGGCTCCCTGACTAGCACACCACTATAAGGCACATATTTGCAAAATATCACATTGCATTCAGACTTAATAGCTTTAGATGTACTCATAGGTATATGCTTCAAAGGGTGATGTGTGAAGTTGGGTCTCATCCCTTGCCCCTGCACTATAGGAATACATTTTTTTAATAACTTTCAGTGTTGTATTAAATTATTGAAATACCTAGTGTGAAATGCTTTGAGCACTCCAACTGAGAGTTAATATTTGAAAAATCAAACTTATATGCCAAATGTACTACATTTAACTTTAAACAGAATTAGATGGTAATCATAACCACCCCATCTCTGAAGAAAATCCCATTGATCAAGTAAATCTATTTAAGACTAAAAGGTGAGTCCCATGGAAGTTAATTGGTCTAACAAATAATACTTCAGTTTACCTAAACTTTGGATGGTTTATCAATCAATTAGGTTTATCAATCAATTAAGCCCATAGGTCACTTGTTATGGATTCAAGGTAATATCACAAATAGGTTGTCCTGTTGCCATCATCAACAAGTATATAGCAGTGCGATCCTAAACAAAGTTACACTCTACCAAGCTCATTCACTTCAATCGACTTAGAAGGCTGTCGTTCTTATTAGGATTGTGCTGTAAATTACATAAATTTCTGGCTGAAGTACTTGTCTGACTGTTCTCACTGAAATAAAGCTGTCTACACATTCTGTAGCTTTCAGAGGGCGAGCCAATGGCCATCCTATTCCCACAGCAGAAGTAGTTCTATTGTAGCCACATCAGTATAAGGCGTTCTTAAATACTCCCTCCCCCATCTGTCCATTTGAAATCATGTCTAAGAGTTGGCTCACTTCTATTTTAGGAGTGCAGCAGCAACTCTCCCACTGCCTTTTCCCAAAGTGCAGCAAAGGATGTT